TATACCTCAATAACACAGCCATACGTGAGCTAAAGGCCCACACCTTCCGGAACGTGACATTTGGCTACATATATATCGCGGACGCCATGAGTCTCGAGACCATATCCGGGGACGCCTTCGACGACTCCTATAATCTGACGGTTTTACTACATTTGTGGCGAAATCCGCGACTGACTAACGGCCCCAACAACTCGCTCTGGGATGCCGTCAGTAAATTCAAGATTGTTAATAAAGTCCAGGTTAGTTCCTTGTAATCAATAAAACTTTCGCCAAAAATGTTTTTTGTCTTCATTTTCTTCATGAGTTTACGGTTAATATCGATGTCATCGATGGTCTCGTATATCAATCTCTGCCACTGTTTGGACACACATTCACTGAGGAATCGGTCTTCAAATGGCAAATAAGACAATAAGTGTTGACACAAATCATCACCGAATCGGTCCAAAGAGTCCTTTGCATACATTTGTGGCTATAATTGAGTGAAAAGTTAATCATTTTATGAAATGAATGGATAATTGTGTGAATGTATGGCTAATACCTGTTCTCCACTCACGTTCCCCTCATTTGTCACAACTTTGATCTTCTTGTGAGCCATTCTTGGGATCCAATGACTGCTTATAGTGTTAACTGATGTCCAAATTGTGTCCATTTCTGTGATGTTTGGCAAATGAATCGCAAAATGAGTTTCGAATGAAAGCATTATTGCCTCACAAGTGATGAAACACTGCAGTAGTTATGACTGGCCTTCGAATACCCGTAGACTTACATACGGTTGACATTCACATCGAGTTTACCGTATAATCCAATGCCTGATAACTACCGCATACTGTACTGTATGTCACGTAGTATTTGGTGGACCTTTACATCACCAACACTTCCATCACATCCATCGGTGATAACGCCCTATACTTTGAAACTCCTAGCGGTTTATGGCGTTAGATATCACTGGTGAACAACCCGGGGCTCACACCCCACGGCTATTCTCACAAAACGTTTGGTCATCTCTTGGATGAGACACATCTGATGCTATCAAACGTATACTTCAGGAACACTGGACTCAAGTATTTAGAGGAACTGGTGTTTCGGCCATTCTTTGAGTCCAATGTTCACAATGCCATAGATGTGGACAACAGAGCCTTTGATTGCAAAGATCACCAGTGGACTTATTATACGCCTGTTTTTTGGACTGATTGCCACCCATTGTATTAATTGTATTATAAGTACTTTAATAATATATTTAAAAGTTTTGTTATGACATTCAGATAATTGTTTTATTCAAATAAACAATTTGTTACAAAAGTTGAAAAAATAAAATGTTTAGTGTTTTGTGGAAATAATAGAAAGAGTTATCAAAACCGAAAAAACAGTGAAATGAATCAAATAATTTCGGTATTAATAACACAATTATGTAATCAATTCAATGGTTTAATGGCAACATATTTCGCATTTCATGTATTCGTTTGTCAGTGTATTTCATGCATTTGCCTGCGATTAGTCGAAATGACTTCAATTTGGGACTACTTTTCAATACAAATGCCTTTATATCCGATTCATTGAGGTTTAGATTCGCGTCTGAATCCCAGCGAATGGCCAGTGATTGCAGTTTACGAAGACTTGCCATACGATCCAAACAAAAGGCATTTATCTGTCCATAACTCCACGAATCGATTTCCATATCAAGTGATCGCAGATTTGGTTCATTTGCAGCAATCTCTTGAAACAGTTTATAATTAATTTGCCATAAATTGAGTGAAAGGTGTGTTAATTTGGGCCAACGTTTGAGTGAATCAAATGACTGCCAATCAGTGAGCGGTGGGTCATCACTGGGTAATCCCAGGTTGAGCTCTAATCGTGTGATTTGTGGCATCAATTGGATGGCATTGAGAACTCCGACATTTGGTTCCGGAGTTTGAGAAACCATTGTTAGGCAAAACCTCTTGAGTTTTGCACACTTTAAGCCAATTTGCGCCAACGGTTCAGATATTGAATACTCAATATTATCGCATTCATACGTGAACTCCAGTTTCAATTCTCGGAGTTCTTGTAATTGCGACAATCGATTCATGAATCCAATGACAGTCTCTTCAATCTCTCCATTAATACATTTAATATTAAGACTTTTCAGTGATTTATTGTTTGCCACAAAAGTGGTGAACATATGGTCAGTGAAATGGTCAGCGAAAAGGCGTCCCCCGAACCCGAACTCATATTTCTGTAAATTCTTCGCCAAACACTGGTTACCCGTCTCATCAAACACTGAATCCAATCCATAAACTTTCAAATGAGACAAATTGTGGCATAAATTGAGACATTTTCTACATTTTGATTCATCGTTATAACCGAAAACTAATGTAACAATTGATTCAAATGTTTGACACAAATATTGCATCAAATTGTCGCCAATTTTCGTTGAACTCAAATCGCAGTCAATTTGTCGGACATTCAGACAATTGTCGAGCAATTCATCGATGGCTTCAAACACTTGTCTCTGAAGTTTTGATCGCACATATCGACAGTCAATGGTCTCAATGTTTGCACACTTTCTCATAATTAGTGACAAACACTTGAAATGAATATACTTTTTGTTGCAAACGTTTTTTGTCTTCATTTTGTCCAATAGATTGTCATTAATAATGATCTCATCGATGGTCTCGTATATGACTCGTTGCCACTGTTTGGACACACATTCACATCGGAATCGGTCTTCGAGTGACAAATAAGACAATAAGTGTTGACACAAATCATCACTGAATCGGTCCAAAGAGTCTTTTGCATCCATTTGTGGCTATAATTGAGTGAAAATCAAAAGTCAATTGTTTTATGAAATGAATGAATATTTGTGTGAATGTATGGCTAATACCTGTTCACTGTCTTTGCCCTTATCTGTGGTCCCATTCTTCTCGGTCTTTAACTTCTTGTGAGCCATACTATGGATCCAATGAATCACTTCTTGTGTCAATTGTTTGAATGTTTAGTAAATGAAACACGAAATGAGTTTTCATTGAAAATCAAAACATTTGACACAAAATGCGCTCAATTTGTGGTCAATTGTCACATGAATTACGTTTTCATAACTCTATTGCTTTTGCATTGCATTCAAAACCAATGAAATTAT